GATTTTTGAAAATCATATTTATTGGGGCTGGCAGGTGGCGTGGTGGTTAAAGACACTGGACTCCCATATGGCCAGCCGCGGTTTGAGTCCCAGACCTGGTGGTTTGCTTTCTTGCTCTCTCTTTTTCACTCTGTCTCTCTCTGATCAAATTGAAAATAAAGTTAAATAAAATAGTTATTTTTAAAAATCATGTTTACTATATTTAGTGACATAAAAGACAAGCTTAGGAGTTTTTACATTTGTAAAGGATCACAAATGAGAAGTAGCAATGACAGAGACCACACATTGCCCACAAAGCCTACAGTATTTACTATCTGACCTCTATGAAAGTCAGAAGAAAATATCCCAAATGATATATAGAAAGGGAAAGAAAAAAAAAAAAAAAAAAAAAAAAGAAAAACTAGTGTCATTTTTTACCATTGATATTCCTAAACAGCCAAGGGACTGTGCATCTTTTCTTTAGTGCTGACTACATGTGGATGTATTACTTGAGTTAGCTTTGTCTATCTTTGAGCCCGATGTACTGTATCTGCCTGGCTCAGAACTCATCAGGACTTGGTCGAATTTCTAAGAAATTTGGAGATGTGAGCTATCCTAAGTAAATGCCTGTAGATAAAACATCGTTATTCTGCTTTGTTATTTTCCGTGGAGGCAAAATCTGAGTGTGAGCATAGGTTCCGAAATCGAAACTACTAAGGTTCATACCTTGCCTCCACCTCTTCCTAAGTTGTTTATTTGGGTTCAGTAAACTACGGCTTACTCTGTATGAAGTGAAGATAAAAGCATTTATCTCATGAAAGTACTGTAACAAGTTCAGTTTTAATACCGCTTCATTTTCTCTTTGGTGCTTATTTGTTTGAAAACCAATTGAACACTCATCACTCGAACACCCTGACTCACCTGTTACACAGTTATTTACTCACTTTGTAGTAAACCACGTTTATGCGGTTGCTTTGGTATTCGTTCTTTATTCACGTAGTAGATGTTCAGAGAGCCAGGTAGTGTGCTAGGTGCTGAGAGTGGAGGACAGAAGCTAGTAATTGTATAATGGTCTGCTCCAGTAGGATTAGGACCCCTCGGAAGACAGCGTTTTCTTTTGCTTGCTACTCACCAGATTGTGCTATCTGCCTAGTACTCAGTACAGACTGGACTGAATAACCAAAGAAAGACTTTCCTCCTTTCTAGGCAAACAGTTCTGCTATTATTGATCACATATTTGCCAGTAAAGCAGTGGTGAATGCCGCAATTCCAGCCTATCACCTAAGAGACCTTATCAAAAGGTACGTTACCTGTCCTGTACACCTGCTTTGCGTACACTTATATGCAGTTTCTGTTTGGGGGACTGGGTTTATGTTCTTTCTGGTTGATTTAACCATGTAGAGGTTTTGTTTTCTTAGAAATAAGAATTTTAGAGGCCAGCAAGTGGTGTGGTGATTAAGACACTGGACACTCCCATGGCTAACCCTGATTTGAGTCCCAGACCTAGTGGCTTACTTTCTCACTTTCTCTCTCTCTCTCTCTCTGTATCTCTCTCTCTATCTCTTTGGTCAGATTAAAATAAATGAATTTTAAAAATCATTATTGCTCTTACAATGTTTTTAAGAAAAAGAAATAAGAATTGCAGTTTGGATATCCTGTCCTATAAGGAACATAAGTAATCAAGTAGTTTTAGTAGATTTATTTCTAAGGAATGTTCTTTTGTTCACGGCAAGTAACACATGCTAACTCTTCCTGCAGCTGTTTAGTTGCTCTGGCTCTGGTAGTTTTATAGACTTGATGGAAAACAGGTTTTTAAAGAGAGTCTTTATAGTAATGACTGAATTTGCTTTAGGATTCCCCGTTGTCCTCCCCCAAAAAAAGAACAAAAACAAACACAAACACCATTTTGGATAAAGTGTTTTGTTTTTTTTTACTGTATTTTAAATTTGAATAATTACCATTGAAAACTTCCAGAGATAGATAAAGGGCATCTGATAACCAAATAGGTCCAAATACGATAGACATTTTAAAAATAAGAAATAATCTATATGTTCAAATAGTAGATTTTTTAAGGTTTCTAGCAGTACAGGCCAGAAACGGTTAAAACAATTAGTAGATTAGAGAAGGAATGGATCCCTTGATTGACTCAGAGTATTATAGTTTCTTTGGAATAGTGGCCCTATAAACCTTCAAATTAGTTTAATTGTAGCCTCACAGGAAGGTACCAAACTATTAGAGAGGCCCTTATCCTTCACCCAGGGGTCCCTTCTCATCTTCCTGCCTTTTTCTTTATGGTTTATTTGTTAAGTACAAATAAACCTGGGTTATTAGCTCAGTATAGTTTTCCACAGTCTGAATTTTGCTCATTAAATCAGCATAGTGTAGCTTAATGTATTTCTGTTTAATTCCTTATTACTATAAATCGTATTGAAGTTTGAGTTTTTATTTGTGTGGCAAGGCTGTAGATGGCATTCTTTTCTAGGGAGGCACATAATGTGGTTACTGTTACTTTGTGAGTCGGCAGCTGTTGATACTCAGTGCCTAGATCAGTACTTTGTTCTGAATTGTACACGGTGATGTTCTTATTCTGTCATTTAAGACTAAGTAATTGCTTCCTTTTCTCTTTACTTACTAGCTGTCAAGATAATGACTTGGTCTCTTGACGTCTTCCAAAGATGATCATTCCTTTTTAAAATTCAAAGTATCATTATAAAATAATAGATTTAAATATGTTTGATGTAGTTCAGTTGTTGCCATTTTTATCCTATTCACAACTGAAATTGGCCCAGTTTCTGATCAGTGGGAGCCTCCCCTGTTGGTTTGGGAGGACATTACCTTTCATAGCTTTCTTGCTCCATGGCATGACAAGATGTTCCCAGTCTGTCTTTTATATTTTCCTGCTACAGACATGGAATTGACCTTTTCTCCCTGTATTTTTGTAGGAAATGTTATTTTAAAGCATAACCTGAGGATTAGAAAATAGTCATTGCTACTGGGTTAGTCATTGTTTCCAGGCCTTTTAAGTGGACAGGGTTCATACTCCTATTTCCGATTCAGAACAATAGGGTTCTTACTCTTTTTCGTATTTTATATCTGTATCTGCTTTCTTTCACACCAAGAATTCTGATTCTTGAGGTCAAAGGGAATGCCAGATTTAGAATATTTCATAATTACTTATTTAGTTTACTTCACATTATACATAAAACAGTCTGAAAATGATACTGGGTCATCAGAAAAGCCGTGACTTATTTCTCTATGCGTTTCTAAGTAGTAATGTGTCATGACTTTTCCAACAACCCAATAGTACTGTATGAATTGAGAGCCAGAGCCCACACAACCAACTGTGGTTTGAATCCTGGCTGGAGAAGCTTGAAAACCTCAAGACTCTGATGAAAAGGAAAAAGTGATAAAAGAACTGTAGTGTGATCATTCCCCATTGGGTGATGGTTTATTACCTCCACCCTGCTGAGCACATGGCCTCTTCTGGCAGCGGGAAGTATAGTACTCTGAAAACTAGATTGCTTAAAATAGTAAAATTATTTCTACATATGTAGCCATTATACAACATACACCATTTGTTTTGGTTTGGTTTGGTTTTTTTTGGAGAGAGATTTTTGTCATATGGCACATGCGCTCACTGAGAGACAGGAGAGGAAGTGAGAAATCACTCCCCAGCAGGGGTGGCCACACTGCACTCCCTTCCAACTCTGTTCTCTTCCTGGGATTTTGGGCATGCACACATATGCATTTGGCATGAGTTTCAAACCTCCAGATCCTGGACTTGAACCTTAGTTGGTTATGTGGGAGTCCCATGCCTTAACCATTATGCCACCTGCTGACCCCTACACTCTGTTTTAATTTTCTTATTTTATCTTAGCTCTATGTGGTCCTTGTGTTGATGTCTCCATCATTTTTGTTTTCTCACTCTTGTTCACTAGGAGATAGGAGATTAATATTTTGAGTCCTTGCATGTTAATTATAGTTAAAATGCTTGTTATACTTGAAAGTTTGTTTAGGTGAATTTAAAAATCCTTGGCATACATTTTTCTTTCCTTGAGTGCCTTAAAGATGTGATTGCATTTTCTTCTGATTTATAATGTTCTTATTGAAAAGTCAGTGACTGTTTTTTCATTAAAAGTTACTTATTCCTTTTGTTCAGGTGCCAATGGATTTTGTCATTTTTTTTTTTCAAAGTCTGATAATTTTACCAGAATGTCTTGATTTTGATTTTTCTGTGGCGATAATGGTACACCTTTCAACATATAGTTAAGATTTGTTTATTTTAGAAAAATGTTCTTAAAATTGTTCTGTTCTTTTGCTTTTGTTTTCTCTTTAAGGCACTCCTATTCTACATCTACTTATTATATTTTCTTAGCAATATTCTACATATGATTTCCTTTGACTGTATTCAGTATTACTTTCTCTTGAATCCATATTATTTCTTTCTTTTTGATTTTTAAAAATTTTCATTTTTTCCTGTTTCTCTTTGACATTATCTGCTGTGTTTAGTCATCCTTGTATTTCTTCTAGCATCATCTTATCTTATGACATAATTTTTAAAAGTTCTACAGAATTAAAGAGTAGAATCTTGGGGTCCGTTACATGATTTTCAAGATTTTTCTCATTTTAATTTGTTGACATGTATTTCATTTTTAAAAAGTCTTGAGCTTATATTGAAGTGGTAGTAGTTTTCATCTGTGATATGGTTCTGAGTTTCAAGCGCGCATTCGTTGTCTGAAGTGTTATTGAGATTTTCTGCTGCTTCTCCCCTGAGTTTTTCTGTGATTTTTCTCTCTCTCTTTACCTCCTTACTCTCTCCCCACCCCAGTCCCATCCTGTTCAACTTGGATTCTATTCCCAAGATTTCTTCTCCCTGTGAGACTTCACCCCAGAGGGAAGTTTCAGTTGGTTAGTTTTGAGAGGTCTTAGTGTCTAGATTACTGCAACCCTTTCAGAGTTTACAGAGCATCCCTTGTATTCAACCGGTATTAGGATATATGACCGCTTGTGGGGTCAGCTGCTTTTCTTAAATTGGCCTGCTGTGCTTTCTAGTGAGTGAGTTCTTATTAGCTGTTTCATTTTGTTTTTCAGTTTCATCAGATTAACTTTTTTTTTTTTTTTCCTTTTTCTTCTTTGGCATTTTATTATGAGGGAGCTTCAAAATGTTAGTGGAAAAAATTGAATTAAAGTACAAGTTTATTTTGGTGGAAAAAAATTTGAAATCCATAGTTTTTTCATAATATATATTTTCCATGAGCTTTTTGGAAATCCCTTCCACTTCAGTGTTAGGATGCAAGTCTTACTGAGAGTGATGCTTTGTCACCAACTATAGTGTTGTTAGAGATGGTGATTATGGTTTTCTGGTTTTGCTCTCAAGTGACCTTATTATTTGGGACTTTGACAAGATTTAGTGATCATCCTAGTGCTATCTTCTTTTATAAATTGCATTTTGCTACGTATGAGGCTTTTTGAAACTTCAGGGTTACAGAACGTAAGTCCCTTTGTGTCTTTGATTGATTAATTCACAGCATTTTAAGTCATAGTATAAAATTAAGTCAGAGGCATGTATCATGATTTATTGAACCATTCTCATAAATAGCATTTGTGTTTTTGTATGTGAATGATTCCATAATGAAGGTAGAGGTTTGGCAAGGTTGGCGGTAACTGTACAGGTAGCTGTTTCTGTGTTGCAGCATGCTTCACGACGACCCAAGCAGAAGAATTCCCGCAGAAATGGCGCTGTGCAGCCCATTCTTTAGCATTCCTTTTGGTGAGTTGCGTGCATTTTTACTATGTTTTTCCTGGTAATTTGGCAGTCAGCTAAGACTTCAGAGCTCATTTGTATTCCCATGCTCCTGTCTGGTCTCCATCCATTTGTTGGGGGGCTTTAAATGTAACCCCGGTGTGATGAACTTTGGCAGCCCCGCATATCGAAGATCTGGTGATGCTTCCTACTCCAGTGCTGCGGCTGCTGAACGTGCTGGATGACGACTACCTGGAGAACGAAGAGGAGTATGAAGGTGAGTGCTGCCCCCTTACAGTCCATGCGTCTGTCTTAACTCGGTCTGGAGTAGTCCGATCTTGCCGTATGTTCTCATATTTTTCTGAGTTAGGCGAGGAGTATATTGATCTCTAAAATACTCTGTTTTTGATTCACAAGATTCTTTGGACCAGATTAATAAAGAAGATTAATTTTTCCCAGTAACTTCCACCTTTCTGTCCATTCTGCCCCTCTCTTTGCTTTCAGTTCTCTTTTTTAGCTCTCTTTGCTTTTAACAACTCAGTCATTCAAGACATATTTACCGTGCACTTACCGTGTGCTGTCGTGGGATTATTCCCTGTGTTTAGTATAGTAAAGGAGAGAGCTGCAAGTCTTCCTTCAGTGTTTGTAGGGAAGTGGTTCCAGGACCTGCTGTGGATACCTGAATCTGCACATGCAGAACCCGAAGGTACAGAAGGCCAGCTGTATAAACAAACAGTTACTATTGTGATCTTCTGAAGACGGAGTAATATGCAGGGCCAGTGACTGTGAGGGCTTCTCTTTGGACTTCTGTCTGAGCTCGGCTAGTACAATGGAGTGGTAGTACTGATGAGCGTGTTCCATGAGCAACAAGTTGGTATGCCTGCATCTTTTCTTTTTTAATGTTTATTTTATTTCTTTCTTCCCTGAGCAAGAGAGAGAGAGAGAGAGAGAGGCACCCCCAACAGGGTCCTAATGCTACAGTCTTCGCCCGGCCCCAGTGGGCACTCATGCCTGGCATGTCCAGGGTGGCCTCCTGATACAGACCCAGACTGCCCCGTGGGTCCACCTCACAGTATTGCATTACTGCCGTGCCACCCTCTCTCTCTCTTAAGATATTTGTCAGGGAGCAATCAGTTAAAGTGAAAGAGGGAGACAATGCATAGATACCTTATAGACTTACTTGCTATTTAAGAATTTGGATTTTTATCTCAGAAGTCATAACACTGAACTGTGACCTACATGAAGGATTTTTCCTTCTGATACAGAATAGTCCCTGACATATAAGTATCCAATAAATAATTGGTCTTTGTTGAGTATAATAAAGGGTCATTAAAATTTTTTATGGGAAAGTGGTATAGTCAAATTTGTGTTTTAGTAGGAACATTCTGGAAGCAATATGGTGAATGGAATAAAGCAGGGCCAAACTTGGGCAAACAACAATGGTTGTGAAGCATTTGTATCGACCTAGGTGTACTACAGAGGTGCAGCTTCGTGTAGTGCCGAGAGTAGAGACTGTGGTTACATCTGCCTCCATCACGTATCAGCCCTTTGACCTACAGGTTCCTCGTCTGTGATGTGAGGATAGTAAATGGTACCTATTAGGGCTGTTGTGAAAATTAAATGAGTTCATTAATAAAATTTCTTAGAATGATGCCTGGCATATAGTAAGAACTCTGCAAATACTAATGTTAACATTAGCTGCTATCAGCCATTAGAATGTATGTGCCGTGGAGCTGGCAGGTGGTGTGGTGGTTAAGGGAGCTGGACTCCCACTTGGCCACCCTTGGTTCCAGTCCCAGACCTGGCGGCTTTCTTTCTCACTTTCTCTCTCTCTCCCTCTCTCCCTCTCTCCCTCTCTCTCTCTCCCTCTCTTCCCCTCTCTGGTCAAATTAAAATAAGTAAGTAAATAAAGTTAAATAAAATAATTCTTTATAAAAAAGAATGTGTGTGCCATAAGAGCTAGTGTTTTTAAATCATTATTTTATTTATGGCTGTGTTCATAGCTCCTGGCAGGTAGTAGGTCTCTGTAACTCCTCACTGGAGGGAAGAAGGAAAGATGGGACAAGAAGTAATGCACTAAGAGTCAGTCCCACCCTGTAGCATCTTCATGGGGAAGAGAACAGGGGTGAGGACGGTTGGGGTTCGGATAAGCCCTACACTTGGGATGAGCCACCTTGGGGATGGTGGTGCTTGTACAGAGATAAGGAATGGAGGAGAAGGAGCAGGTGTTGGGAATTGGATTTGGACAAGAGGAAGGGTACCTCAGGCACTCACTGGAATAGATCCTGCTCACAGATGGGGTGGAGGAGAAAGCACGTTGGTGGCTCATCCGGTAAGTTCCAAGTGAGACCGAGTCGGCAGTCGATGGTGTCTTACAGTAACCTGTATGTTCTGGGAATGTTCTTCACTCAATTTTGAACTTTTTTGATGTCCTCTTATTTGTCACTTGACTTCCATGTCCTACCTATATATGCTAACAAATGATGCCCAGAGTTTTAAGATTCTCGATCTGACTTTAAATTTCTTTATCTTCTGCTCATAAGTCATATTCAGTTTAGAATCCTACTAATACTTATACTTACTTATTTTTTTTAATGTCAGTGTACACATGTACTTGTCAAAGAGAGAGTATGTGAAAGACATGATTACCACATTCCTTTTTTCTAAAGAATGAGTTTATTTTGGTTGAAAAAAAAAATTGAAATCCATAGTTTTTTCATAATACATATTTTTTAAGAACTTTTTGGAGATCCCGTCTAAATCGATATTTGTAAGGTACAGTCTTAGTGAGGCTTTGTCACCCCAAATACAGTGTTCTAGAGGTCGTTCGTGGGTTCTTGGTTTAGCTGTCAAGTGACCTTATTAGTAAGGCAGTGTTTTTTCCTCTCTTCCTCCTTCCTGTCAAAATTTTGAGCATGCACACACAAACACTTATCCTATTTTTTCAAGCATCTTTGGCCAGGATTTGAACTATAGTTAGCCATGTGGGGTTCAGCTCCCTTTTAAACACTGTGCTACAGACTGGCCCTCCTTCTGATGTTTAAAATGAAAAAGAAAATTAAAACAGAAATCTTTTCTGTTTTAAACATCAGAAGGATGCAAGTTTGTGTATTCTTTCCTTTTCCTTTGTTTCTTAGTCCCTGGTTTATCTTTTTATTTTTCTTTTATACTATTTTATTTGAATCCTGATATCCCTGAGTCAGTTTATATCATTCTGTGACATTAGTAACATTAGTAGGTATAATTTTTTAACCCCTACTCTGTGCCTAGTGTGTTACATATAATTTCCTGACAGGTAGTTATTATTTTTTCATTTTACAGGTAATACGTGAGCTCAGGCTCAGTCACAAAGCTAGTAACAACAGGAATCAGATATTTAGTCAGTGTATTTCTAAAACTCTTTTCTTTCTTTGTTTTCCTATTTTTCTTTTTAAAAGTTTATTCTCCCACAATTGAGACAGAGAGACAGCTCCCCTAACAGAGTCTTGATGCCACGATTAACACCCCCCCCTCAGCTGTAGTCCACTCTGGATCATGGGCACATGCCTGCCTGACATACACGTGCCTGGCACAGTCAGGGAGGTCTCCAGACATGAACCAAGAACCTCCCCATGTGCGTCAGCATTGCGGAGCATCATGTGTCACCATTGTGCCACTGTCTGCCTATTTTTCTATTTAAAAATGTCCACTGCTGATATGAAAGATTCTCTGTAGAAGAGTAAAACATTACTGATATGACTAATTTTGTCACATTGTTTCTTACAAGGGCACATCATTTCATGTTCCTGAGCTTTAATGTGGTTACCTGCCAAATGAAACAAACAGTACCTGTGACTGTGACACGCATAAGACTCCCCAGCCTCCGGACTGTTCACACACCAGTGCAAAGGATGACCTTGCACTCAGCATTTACCTTAGGCCACTAAGTATAGTGTTTCAAAGTAATCCCTTAGGGTCAATTCACACGGCTATTTGTGTCCCTTAAGCCTATCTACCTACTGTCTTGATCATCTCGTTCTGTCCACTCCACACAGTTTTTATCACTAAAAATCTCAAGCTCAGGGCCAGTAGGTGGCATAGTGGTTAAGGCGCTGGACTCCCACATGGCTGACCACAGTTCGAGTCCTGAACCTGGCAGCTTGAAGTTCATGTCAGGCACATGTGCGTGTGTGCCCAAAATCCCAAGAGGAGAATGAAGAAGAAGGGATTGTGGCATGACCATTCCCCACCCACCCAGGGCGTGTAATTTCTCACTTTCTTTCTCTCTTTCAGGCAGATATGCCCTACAGCAACAATCTTTTACAGAAAAAAAAAAAAAAAAGAAAGAAAAACTCAAGCTCAGGGTTTTTTGAATAAACCTTAAAAAGACTACCTAGCAATCTGCTCTTTTCTTTGTATCTTGCTATATAACAACTAATTTTCTGTTTCTAAAAAATACACTGAGTGTTTAAATAAAGATTAATTTTATTTATCATTATTATTATTTTTTAATTTACTGTAGGGCACATGTGCTTATGGGGGGAGGGGGAGAATGAAAAAGCAAGCCACCAGGTCTGGGACTCAAACCGTAATCAGCCATGTGGGAATCCAGCACCTCAACCACCGCGCCACCTGCTGTCTGTCCCCTTCTGTTAAATATTAGTGTGTAAGAATTTTAGTAGGTGGTGTGATCCCATATGGCTGACTGCAGTTTGCTCCTAGACTTGATGGCTTAGAAAAAGGTGCCATGCATCTGTGCATGCATGCCCCACATTCTGAGAAAAGAATGGAGGAAAGGGGACTGCAGTGTGGCCATCCCCCTAGGCATGATTTCTTACTTTTCCTTCTATGACTCTTTCCTCACACACATGCCTCACAGGAAAAAAAGAATTTAAGTGTTGATTAGCTGGTGGCGTTACGGTTAAGGTAGCTGGATGCCATATGAGCAGCTGTGCGGTATGTGTCCTGGACCCACCAACATGAAAAACATGCCAGGTCTTTGTGCTTGTGTGCTCAAAATTTTAAAAGGAGGGGGAAATGGAGAAGGGAGTGTGGTGTGCTATCTCCCAAAGGAGGGGATGCTTACTCATTTTCTTGCTCTGTCTCTCCTCCAACAGCACATGTACCCTCTAGCAAATTAAAAAAAAAAATCTAAAATACAACAGAAAATATAGTATCATTAAATACTTTTTTTAGTTTCAGTTAACGTTTACTGGTATTTGTTTTGTTTTGTTTTGTTTTGGAGGGGAGATGTTTTTGTTATAGGGCACATGCACTCGCCAGAAAGACAGACAGAGAGACACAAAGTGAGAAATCACCCCCAGGAGGGATGGCCACGCCGCACTCCCTTCTCCTCCATTCTCCTCTTGGGATCTTAGTCATGCATGCACAGGCACCTGTCGTCAGTTTTAAGGCACTGGGTCCAGGACTTGAACCGTGGTCAACTACATGGGAGTCCAGCGACATAGCCATCACGCCAACTGCTGGTCCCACGTTTACTAATTTTATGTAAGTTTGCTTAGTTAGAAGTTATGATGTGTTGAACAGTCGTCTTGTAATCTTGATGGTGTCAAGGAAGGAAGTTAGATTCATACCTTATATTGTAGACCAAATAAATTTTGACTCAGGTAAAGATGAATAAAAACCAAAGAAGTAAGGGAGGGAATGAAATAGAGAAGGAATAAAAAAGGGGAGGTGAGAGAAGGGCAGGTGGGAAGAAAAGAATTTATTTTGACTTAAAAAATCATGGGAGAATTAAACAAAATATATTCCTGACATGGGAAAGGACTTTTTTCAAAAGTGACACAAAACTCAGAGGCAATAAAATAATAGTTGAATAAATTCTGCCCTGACAAGAACCATCTCAGAAAGATTAAAAGACACACCACAGTTTAAGAGACAATATTGGGTCTTCGAAAAAGTCACGATGTATTTTTTGTTTCTTTATACAAAAATGTGTCATGACTTCCTGCTGTCCCAGTCCTCACAGCTCTACCACAGAGAATTTATAGGAAGAGAAGTACAGTTGCATTTCACACATTTTTAGTCTGGCTTATTATTGAAGTGCTGATTAAAACCAAACTAATATCTTTGTTATCCATCACATTGACAGTGATGAAAACATGTGATAACCCTAGTAAAAGTTTACACTGGTGGCTTGGTGATTGAGGGCCCTGGACTCCCACATGGCCGACCCTGGTTCAAGTCCCGGACCCTGGCAGCTTACTTTCTCACTTTCTCTCTGTCTCTCTCCGGTCAAAATTTTAAAATACTGATAATAAAGTTAAGTGAAAAAAAAATTTTAAAAAGTTTACACTAGTAAACCTATATGAAAGGCAAATTGGAAATACTAACAAAATTATAAATTCATGTTGGTTTTGACCCAGTAATTCCCTTTCTATGATGTCAGCCTAGGACTAAGTATACAAATGAAATATGTACACATTTTTCTCATTTAGCATTGTTTAAAATGGCAAAAAGTTTGGAAATAGCTAAATTATTCATCGCTTAGGGGATATAGGAGTTAGTTTATTGAGCAGTCATAGAGTAAATGTTACATAACCATAGGGTACATGAGAAAGTTTCATGTAGTGGTATGGACGTGGGCATAGTCCTCTGAACTGAGCGGGTTGAGTCAAGGGTAGATCGCAGCATGAATGCCCTGGTGGTGGTGGTGCCTGTCTGTCCGTCTCTTTCACTCTGAGGAAATAAGTACACATTTGACCCTGGTTCAAGTCCCGGACCCTGGCAGCTTACTTTCTCACTTTCTCTCTGTCTCTCTCCGGTCAAAATTTTAAAATACTGATAATAAAGTTAAGTGAAAAAAAAATTTTAAAAAGTTTACACTAGTAAACCTATATGAAAGGCAAATTGGAAATACTAACAAAATTATAAATTCATGTTGGTTTTGACCCAGTAATTCCCTTTCTATGATGTCAGCCTAGGACTAAGTATACAAATGAAATATGTACACATTTTTCTCATTTAGCATTGTTTAAAATGGCAAAAAGTTTGGAAATAGCTAAATTATTCATCGCTTAGGGGATATAGGAGTTAGTTTATTGAGCAGTCATAGAGTAAATGTTACATAACCATAGGGTACATGAGAAAGTTTCATGTAGTGGTATGGACGTGGGCATAGTCCTCTGAACTGAGCGGGTTGAGTCAAGGGTAGATCGCAGCATGAATGCCCTGGTGGTGGTGGTGCCTGTCTGTCCGTCTCTTTCACTCTGAGGAAATAAGTACACATTTTTTAAATCAAAGGAAAGATCTTGGGCTGGCCTAGTGGTTAAGGGAGCCAGATCTCATATGGCCAATTATGGGGTTTAAAATCCAGCCCCAGTTTCTTGAGAAACACAGCAGCCATGTGTGCATCCCCCACATCCCAGTGGGTGGAGAAAAGAAGAAGGGGTAGCTGTCTGACCATGCTGGAGGGTACTCTGCCTGTCTCCCCTGGTGAGCACACGTGCCCTCTAGCAATTTCATAAGAAGGAAGGTTCTTGCAGCAATGTTGTTTAACAAAGAAAAAGAAAAAGCAAGATTAAAATATTTTTATTTGAAACATGTAGAATCTTATTTTACTTACATGTATAAGCTTATAAGATTTATGGGAGGATACAGAAAAAACTGATAATGTTTATTGCCTTCAAGAAGGGAAGCAAAATGACAATTGAAAAGGTGGGAGGAAGACTTAAATATTTTTTTGAATGTATCAAGTGTTTAAAACATTACCTTTAAAATACAAAAAGAAATGCATTAGTGGCTGGACAGTGGCACAGCAGTAAAATGCAACACTCTATCATTAGTGGCTGGAGAGTGGCACAGCAGTAAAATGCAACACTCTCCAGGGCCGTCCCACAGGGAAGTTTCCAGTTAAGTGTGGAGGCCTTGCTGAGAACCGTGGGCAGTTGCTTGCTGGTTGAAGGCTGGGATGAATTGCAGCATTGGGTCCCTATTGGGGTGCTGTCTCTGTCTTTATCTGTCTCTCTTGCTCATGGGGAGAATAAACTTTAAAACAAAAAGGAGAAGAAAATTATTATGTGTGTTGAATTTGTATTACTCTTAAGCTCAATTTTAGAAGATACAGACTATGACCTCATTGTGTAGATGCACAATATATTCCTAAATTCTTTTATTTAAAATGATAAAATAATGAATGCTTGTTAATTATGTCAGAACAATGACTATGCTGTGTTTTATAAACCAGATGTTGTAGAAGATGTGAAAGAGGAGTGTCAGAAATATGGACCGGTGGTATCTCTGCTTGTTCCAAAGGAAAACCCTGGGCGAGGACAGGTAAGTGCGTGTTTCCATAAGTGCAGAATTACTTAGAGGTTACTAAAATCCTCTTAAATGTTTTAGTTCTTTAGAAAGATGTACACAGACATTTTTTGCTATTGAACGGAAGATTTTTAATTTCTTGTGCTTTTTGCTTTTTTCTCAAACTTCTGTAATATGTGTGCATTTTAGTATCCTGCAAAATGCTTTTTAAAAAAGTATCTTTGAGCCATAGTAAATAGTGACACCAGTTTAATCCTATGCTAATTGAAGTCATGTTGAGCGAGAGAAATGATTTAGCCCAATTTTGTTCTCATTAAGTAGAGTTAGAAAAGCAATTAAGTTAGGTTCTGATTGTAAGAGGAATTATCAGTGATGATTTAAAGAAAAGAAGCATGCTGGACTGAGGATCCTGTATCCCGGTTCTGTGTCCACGTGCTGGGCTGAGGATCCTGCACCCCGGTTCTGTGTCCACGTGCTGGGCTGAGGATCCTGCACCCTGGTTCTGTGTCCACGTGCTGGGCTGAGGATCCTGCACCCCGGTTCTGTGTCCACGTGCTGGGTTGAGGATCTTGCACCCCGGTTCTGTGTCCACGTGCTGGACTGAGGATCCTGTACCCCGGTTCTGTGTCCACGTGCTGGGCTGAGGATCTTGCAACCCGGTTCTGTGTCCTCGTGCTGGGCTGAGGATCCTGCACCCCGGTTCTGTGTCCACGTGTTAGACTGAGAATCCTGCACCCTGGGTTCTGTGTCCACGTGCTGGGCTGAGAATCCTGCACCCCGGTTCTGTGTCCACATGCTGGACTGAGAATCCTGCACCCTGGGTTCTGTGTCCACGTGCTGGACTGAGGATCCTGCACCCCGGTTCTGTGTCCACGTGCTGGACTAAGGATCCTGCACCCCGGTTCTGTGTCCACGTGCTGGGCTGAGGATCCTGTACCCCAGTTCTGTGTCCATGTGCTGGGTTGAGGATCCTGCACCCCGGTTCTTTGTCCTTGTGCTGGGCTGAGGATCCTGCACCCCAGTTCTGTGTCCACTTGCTGGGCTGAGGATCTTGCACCACGGTTCTGTGTCCTTGTGATGGGCTGAGGATCCTGCACCCCGGTTCTGTGTCCTCTTGCTGGGCTGAGGATCTTGCACCACGGTTCTGTGTCCTTGTGATGGGCTGAGGATCCTGCACCCCGGTTCTGTGTCCTCTTGCTGGGCTGAGACAGCCACAGTGTATTTAGACACTGCCAAATGACCCCTGGGAGATGAAATAGATGAAATTGCCACTCCTTGTGAAGTATTATTTTATTTTATAGTTCGTTATTTTGAAAATTCTTGGCAACTAAAAAATAAGGGGTGAATGTCTTTCTAGTCTTAGTGAATAGTTATTAGTAGTAATAATGTAGTAATAATAGCCTTGACCTTATTCAGTGTAGCCCTCACCATTTAGTCATTTCTCCTTCTATTATGTCCTAGGCTTTCAGCATGTGATAGTAATCAAAACAGACAAAAATATATAGTCTAAATGCTCAGGAGAAAACTAGATTGAGGAAGAGGCTTAAGGAGGGCTGGGATAGACAGAGACAGACAAAGCAAGAACTCAGCCCCCGAATCCCTTCTCCTCCTTTCTCATCTTGGGAATTTGGGTGCACACGTACACAAATCTGGTGTGAGTTTTAAGCTGCTGGATGCAGGACTTGAACCAAGCTTGACTATATGGGAGTCCAGCCGTGTAACCATTATGCCATCTGCTAGTCCCTTACTGATATTTAAAGAAGAGCCAAAGCAGTTTTTGATAAACTCCTAGAATCACAGATTTCATGTAATTAGGTTATAGTTGACAAGCTTAGTCTTCATTTGAATTTTTCAATTCAGATAAACATATTTTTAAAGGAATATTATAAAAACTACTGAAAAAGAAACTATGATACATTTTATATTATAATACAGTTACCACATTGGGCCAGCGGTAGGTAACATGGTGGTTGAGGTGTTGTACTCCCACATGGTTGACCACAGTTCGAATCTTGGACCTGGTGGCTTGCTTTCTCTCTCGCTCTCGCTCTCACTCTCTCTCTCTTTCTCTTTCTCTCATGAGCACATGTGCCTTAGAGCAAATTAAGATCATAATAACAGGGGACAAGCAGGTGGCGTGATGGTTAAGGCGCGGGACACTCCCCCATGGCTGACCGTGGTTCAAGTCCTGGACCTTGTGGCTTGCTTTCTCTTTCTCTCGCTCTGTTTCTCTATGTCTCTCTCTGGTCAAATTAAAATAAATGAATGAATAAATGTAATTAAAAAAAGATAATAACAATAAAATCAAATAAAAAGAAATCATTACCCAAAATAGTCAAGATTAAAATGATATTGCTCTAATTATTTAATTTTATAATTAGAAAAATAAGGTGATTTTCATATTTGATACAATATGTAAAATATAGGTTAGCTGTTAAGCAGAATATGATAGAAAGCACTCGTCCCTTATGTAAATACATGCCTACTAAATTTACTGAAGTTTGATGTATGGGTTTGGGAGTAATTAAAAATCAGATTCATAAAAGGAAATAGATTTATTATTCTCTTCGGACATCATGTTCTAACTTTAGTAAAATTTATCCTGCAGCCAACATACATCTTTATTTTTTTAAATAAGAGATACAGGGAACCAGCAGTTAGCGTAATGGCTATGTCGCTGGACTCCCACGTAGTCGACCGCAGTTCGCGTCCCGGAGAGGAGGATGGAGGAGAAGGGATCACGGCGTGGCCATCCTCTCTGGGGGGTGATTTCTTGCTTTCTATCTCTCTGTCTCTCTCTGTCTGGCGAGTGCACGCGCCCTATAGTGAAAAACCTCTCAAAAAAATAAATAAAAAAAGAGATACAATATATTATGTCTAGGATGAAATAAAATAAACAACCAATTAGATTGTATATTTATCTGAAATGCTTACAATCAGAGATTTCAGAGTTTTGCAGATTTTGTAATATTTACACATACATAATTAGATATTTTGAGGATGGAACCCATGTCAAAACATTAATTTATGGGACCAGCAGTTAGCGTAATGGTTATGTTGCTGGACTCCCATGTAGTCGACCGCGGTTCGCGTCCCAGACCCGGTAGCTTAAAACTCACACTGGGCACTTGTGCATGTGTGCCCAAGATCCCGAGAGGAGAATGGAGGAGAAGGGATTGCAGCGTGGCCATCCCCCCAGGGGGTGATTTCTCGCTTTCTCTCTCTCTCTTTCTGTCTGGCGAGTGCACGTGCCCTATAGCAAAAACCTCTCCAAAAAAAAAAAAAAAAATCATGAATTTATTTGTATCTCGTATACATGTCATAGACATAACGTGAGGGTAATTTTATACTGTGTTTTTGTATTGCGCTGATTTGACTGTGGCCTGTCATGTGAAGTTAGTTAGGTTTAGAATTTTCCACTTGTGAAATCATGTTGGCACTCAAACAGTTTCAGATTTTGGATTTTTTGGTTAGGGATGCTCAACCTATATTTTGATAGTATGGATTTTGTACATCTACTCTGAAAGAAATACATAAACTTTTACTAAGAGTATTTTTTTTTTCCTATGCAATTATACTTAAAATACAAAGCCTAAGGGACCAACAGATGATTTAATCGTTGCATTGCTAGACTCTCACATAGTTGACCACGCATGGTTCAAGTCCCAGATCCGGCGGCTTAAACTCGTGCCAGGTGCATGTGCATGCATGCCCAAGATCCCGAGAGGAAAATGGAGGAGAAACGATTGTGGCATGGCCATCCCACGTTGGAAGTGATTTCTCACTTTCTATCTGTCTCTCCAGCGAGCACATACACCCTGTAGCAAAAATCTCTCTATTTAAAAAAAAAAAAAAAGCCTGAGTTACTATACTGATTTGACCATGTGAAAGTGCCTTTAATTCCAGTTAATGGAACATTTTAGGGATGAGTTATAGGAATAGCTGGCAAGAATTAGTTGTCTTTAAATATGTGAAAAAGGGTTTTTAGCATTGGATGATCTCTCTGTTGTCTTCTAAAACAGTGCTTGGCTTGAAAATGGCCACCTGACCATTTTAAAGTAATAAGAATTCAGAAACTCTTGTCATAGGCCAAAATACCCTAATTCTAATGTCATACATCGACTTTAACAGAAATGTTTGCATAAGACAGGGAGGAGCCAGTCATAAGCAGGACCTGAGGCTTTGCTTATCAGCAAAGGAAGATCCTATTTAAAAAAAAAAAAAAAAAAAAAAAGGCACACTCTGAGGAATTGCCACTTCTTTTCGGGCCCTGGAAGTTTTTGTCAAATGCCAGAAGGGCTCCTCTGAAAGGGGAAATGAAAAAGGATAACCTGCCTGAACTTGTAAGTAGTCTGACTTTTAGAAAAATTGAAAATGGAAGTTAAGGATCTGGAACTTGATGTCCTTAAGATGGTCTATGTCCACATCTTCTTTGAAAATACCAGAGTGTCCTGGAGTGAGTGTTCCAACTCCAGTGCGAAGACTGTCGCCATGATGAATGAGGCCTCTAAGGAGAGGGAGGCAGTCTTTGGTCTTATTCACCAACTTACGTGGTTAACAAGTATTTCGAACCATTTTGACTCACTGTAACTTTTGCTTTAGATCAACAAAAAAAATGTATAAATTATTGGTATAGCCTCTCCCTACCTCACGTAGGCATTCAGGTTCTCTGGAAGAGGAAATTACCTGGTTTTAAATTTAGTCCTTTACTCATGATTTCTAACTTGTATGTAAGAGATCTTCTGATATCAATAGGTATAATTTCTAGCAGTTTTTGGCCAATATTTTCCCTCCTTCCACGTGTAAGGGGCAGATTACTTGAGGCACTGCTGCGATGCAGCCTCTCTGGGCTGCTCAGCCCCGCATTCAGAGGTGTCTAGTGCTGCTTGTCACCCAGCGACTACGTGCCTTTGATGGCTTGTCTTTGATGGCGCTTTCATGACGGAACTGAATCCTGGGGAAGTATTGAACCTTGCTGCTTTAAAGTATGGTCCAACAGCGTTGACATCACCTGAGAGTTTGCCTAGGCATACGGAAACTCAGGGCAGGCACTTTGGAACTCAGGAGGCAAAATCCACATTCTAGCAAGGTTCTTAAGTGATACATATACATTAAGGTTGGTAAAGCTTGATCTAAGGCAGGCTTGGTGGAGATGAAATTACGTGTTTTCTCTGTCCTCTTTCAGGTCTTTGTCGAGTATGCGAACGCTGGCGATTCCAAAGCTGCTCAGAAGTTACTGACAGGAAGGATGTTCGACGGGAAGTTTGTCGTGGCTACATTCTACCCGCTGAGTGCCTACAAGAGGGGATATCTGTACCAAACCTTGCTTTAATCAGCAACCTAAGGACTGTTTCTTGTTTCTCCTCTTCCATTACCTGGGTTATCCTACTCCACATCTGAACGCAGAAGTAGCACCTTGCCAGTTTGAGGATGTGCTTTGTACATTTATTTAGTCCTCCCCGTGCGCAGCCGTTGCCCCAGCAGTGACGGCACCGCAGACGTGTAGCACTGAGCAGAACAAGACCTCTCAGTGCCCGGGGGGTGTGGAGCCTCCCTGTGGCCACCTTTCCTTGTGCAGTAGGGCAGGTGCTGCTCTTTAGTATGTACCCTAAACAGATAGTAACTATTTCATGTGGTCGCGAGGCAAGGGTCAGTAGTGTGTGGTGGTGAGTCTTGTTAACAAGTCCGTTAGGGTTGGGCACGTTGCCTACTGATTGTTCCTCTGTGTCGTCGGCGGCTCCTCCTGACTGTCGGTGTCCATAGCTGGCGCTGGAAGCCCTCAGTGATGTTACGTGGTCATCAAGCTGCGGTCGCCTACTGTGTTCTTGACACTGAGTTGTGAATTCTTTTTAAGAAGTACTGTAGTACTGAATATTCCTTTAAAGAAACTGCAGTGAGCCTATCTACATTTTATTATTGTTACTATTACGGCTTTTCAAATAGAAAGCTGATGCTTGATCTTGCACAGTTTTTATGTCTAGTATGTGTGCTGGAGTGAGTGTGCAGGTGTGAAAGACTGGAGAAAATTTAAGTCCGTGTACTTGATAGTACGAATCTAGGGAGCTGACACGCAGCTACACACATCTCTTCCCTGCCTGTTTCCCATCTGTGATAGTGAAGGACATCAGTTTTGAGAGCTGGTCTGTCTAACAGAACGGAAAGGACAGAACAGTTTCTTCCTGAGAGGCTCAACAAACTGGAGTCTAGATGGGGGGTTACGTTGAAGCTCTTCAAGTGCTTGGAACAAAGAGAAAGTTTTGCTCCACGTAAATCACCACCCTTAGTCTACATTAGACCCTGTATCGGCTCATCTTTTTTGTACAAAATCTCATGATAATTCTAAGATTTTTCGAGATGTAGTTCTACCTGCCATCATGGAAAATTGCAGTGGGTCAAAAAGAAAGAATTAGATGCACAGTGAAGGGAAAAGAAAAAAATGGGCAGAGTCGATAATCAGGAATTCTGTTTTTCTTCTTTCTGTCTCTTATCTCCCTCTTCCTGCCCTTTCCCTGTTCTCTGCCTCTGTCCTTGGCTGAAGAGAAACTAGAGGCACAGCATTGCAGGTGGTCTGGCATTCAACTGCAAGGAAGTTGACAAAGGTGTGGAGATAGATAGATATTATAGGTAGAGGTGGAAGTAGAAAGGAAGAAAAACTCAGTTCTCAAAAGAGTTCCCAGTAATCTAGTGTGTCCCTGAGTAGAGGGATGCCAGGGTGCCAGAGTTCATGGACACAGGTTGCTTACATGGTTTTAAGAATTATATTTAGGAAGTTTTCTCACGTAATATTTTATGTCTTTAAAGGTATACAAATTAGGAAACCTTTTACAAAGCACTGACTGTACAAAAAAGGAAAAGTTGTATACAGGTTATGAATTTTCTTCGGTTTCCTTACCTGAATGAAATTTTATTTATTAATTTTTTTTCCTAAGGAAAAAATCTTGTATCTTTCCCTGCTGGAAGCCTCTTCCTATCGTGTGTCGTGTGTGCATCACGTGGGTTACTGAGATCCCGTGTTAGAGGATGAATCACTTACCTTGTTCATCAATCACAATCTGACATTGTATTATACAGTTGTCAAAGTATTCGAGACTCCCTCCCTTTAATATTTATTATGAAGCCAAATTTGATACCAGGAGCCTGGTTCATGCATTCCCCAAGGGTCTTGCAGGATGGCCTTCAACACATGCCCTGAAAAGGAAGAGCTGCTGTTTTTTTACCATGGCCCTTTCAGAAATTGGTTAGTTGGTTGGTTTTCAGGTCACAGTTCCAGAAAGTAAGATCCGTTTTGAGAAGACTTAAGCTTTCCTAAACATATGAGTAGCAGCTTCCACGGTGATTAAAAACAGCATATCTTACATACATTCCGATGAATGTGAGAATACCAACGAGTTCTGTTTTAGGTGAGAGTTCTAGGTTGGCACATGTACCTTTCTCTCTCTTCCTCCACCCTTTCCTCCAAAGAAAACCCCTTGAACATGAGCTGCAGGCGGGCTTCTCAGCAGACGGTGCTGCTAACATCTCGAGGCTCTTGGATCACATCTTATGTGGATGTGGTCATACCATGTATGTGTTTAACACTGTCGAGTTTCATTATAGGAGATGCCAGCTAGATTGTCAGGGAATAGCTGATGAGCCTAAGTAACCATGCATTGAAGTGAATATTTTATATTGAAAGCCACAGAGTGAAAGAAAGATGCCTTTTATGATTTAAATTATATTTTATAGCTCTTAGCCCATTCTACCAAAGACATTTGCAGAGTCTCCCTCCTTCCTTCTGATATTATCAGAACTTACTGTCTTTCTTAAACCTGAGCCAAATATTATCAGAAGATGCAGTTTTCATTATTCATTTAGGATGAAATACATTCACAGCAATTTTGATTCCTTGGAGTCACTGAAAACCTAGAAACTTCCTTTTTGAGAGGCAGTGTAAAGAGGTGAGGGTTCAAGTCGCTTAACCCCTACCCTTTGGGGCAAATTTTATCTCAGGTAGTTTTTTTTCCCCTAAATGAATACCTATCCTTCCCTGTCACTTTCCCAACTTGTGTATTGTTCTGTGGTACTTCCGTGGCATGTTTTGCCCCAGAAAAGTGAATATTCTAGAGGAGTCTTTGGTTCTCTGGAAGCGTAATTTGGAGGAGATGGCCAGCCAGCCACCATCAAGTATACTGCTGTCTCGAGGAAGTACTAGTAGAGTTGGACACTCAGTAAAAGACAGCACTAGCTAAACGTAATTATTGGCTTTGTTTTAAAGGAATTTTTACAAATTGTTCTCTTGTAATAAGAGGTCTGCAGTTATTTCCACTGAATGTCTTCCTTGTTTTGTGGCCATCAGTATGGCAACTCTGTTCCCTCTGCCATGAGCCCAAACGATGGCCACTTTTAGAACAAAAACCATGGATATTGTTGTACTCATTCTTGTCTTTGTTTTCATTGAGAAAAGTGTTGCCTTCTTTTTGGTATTCCAGCTGCTAAAGAGTGCTGAAACATGTTAAATGAACCTTTTTTAAAAAAAAAAAATCAGAATTACCTTGCCTTTTAGATTCGTGTTACTTGTGCTTCTGTTTTAATCTTGAGCAAATCAGTGATAAGGAATGCAGTGCTGCCTGTGGGAGACGTTGAAGAGAAACGGGCGTAGGGTTGTTGCTGTCCCACTACAGGGGGCTGCCACCTGGCGAGTGCATCTTCTCTGGAATAAATTAAAGACAAGTCACAGCACTCCTCAGTTGCTGTTTCTGGGCTCGTTTGCATGCATTCATGAAAAAGCAGGTCATCTGACGTCATTGTCTTGAGTCGGTCTTTCAGGCTTTATGAAACTGCCTAATCTTACAGATACTACTTCTGATCTACAGATCAGTTACACTTGGCATCATCTCATTGTATTTTTGTAACTCGTGAAAATCAGCACTATCTAAGTGACAGTAATCACAACAGCATCGTTACTGAGTGAGGGAGTAGGGGACTCTCAGTAACTGTGTCTCCTCTGGATTCTTATGCAAGGGTACGCGCTAGGGGGCTCGATTCAGATTAGCGGACAGATGGAATCACACCGTGACTTTTGGTCTGGTGGATGTGTAGATAGTTAAAGATTTAAGCAAGTGCCTTGTGTTTCCTGGAAAATATTAAAACTCATTTGGGCGAAAGCTTCCCAGATGATGACAATTCATTGCACCTCTGCCTTTTCCTGGAATAATGGTTGGATTGAATCACATAGTATTAAAAATTCCATTTCCTTCACTTACCTTACTTTTGGTATGTGTAAAACTAGTCATACTTGATTTTGTTTCAATATCACGTAAGATGGAAAAGCCAGAGTTATCAGGCTGATTCTAATTCTTCCTTGGGTCTAGTTTTATGTTAATACCAGGTTCCTTCTTTAAGTTTTATCACCGTAGCTCTCTCATATAATTTATTTCTCATCTAGTGTGGTCACATAGAGACCTGCCTGTGGTCACAATTTGATTGAAAGAATTTCCATTTCTTCTTAAGGTGCTCAGTAAGTCACCTTTATTTTGAGATGGAAATCTTTCAAGTTAGTAGTATTAGCTTTATCAGTGCATATAAAAATGTCAGGTCTCCATTATATGGAGTTTTTGGAGTACCCAGCATTTTAAAGATTTGTTCTGTGTTTATTTCAGGTCTGCTTCTTTCCCCGGTACCACAGGATACATCATGTACTCCTAGCCACTGCCCCCAAATGTTTTTCACAATTTTTCAAATTGTATGATGGATGATTAGTAGATTCACCTGATAACATATACTTGACAAGTACTATGGGTACTGAAGAAGAAGGTAAACAATTGTAACTATTTTTGCTGTGATTTTATAGGAGGATGGGCTGTGAAAGAAATATCTAAAGATCAGAGGGCAAACTGTATATTTTATAGGTGGTTAGGAAGGTGATCTTCAGGATGTGAGACAGCTTACACGCACTTTGTCCTTCTGACAGAAAGTTCTTATTCATTTCCCAGCCGCTCAGAACTTTTGGTGTTGCTTGGACTACTTATAAAGATCGGTTTTACATTTGCTTTCTTCGTGCTTTTCAGAGTTCCCCTAATCATGGCAGTTGTGTTTGTGGCATATATGCTGGACTTTGTGAATAAATTCTTATCTGAGTCTCATTTCCCATTAAATTGGGTAATTATCACAGTAACCTCAAAAACCAAACCAAACAAACAAACGAACAAAAACCTGATGGCTTTTTTGAAGGCCATGTATGTTTTAACACCTAGGTTCTTATATTTTAATTTGAAGGCAAAGAGAAGCATCCTATCTTTTGGGCCTTTTGTGACCATCCTTGTGCATGAGAGAACTTATTTTGTTATACTACTTCTTATAATGAAAATAAGTAACATTCTGGAAAGAAAAGAACTGGAATTGTTCCTTTTTGCTTCTTTTTAAGAAACCCTATGTGAAAAGCCAAGTTACTTGCTATCATAAGCTCTGGACTGTCATCAAGAGAATTACTTGTAGGCACTTTTCACCCCCTGCTGCAATTGCCTTCCTCCCAGGTTACCTCCCCTGAGCGATGCTGTGAGAGGAGGACAGTGCGTGTAGAAGCAAGTGTAGTTGAGTTAGCGGAAATCATGCATACGTGGACTCAAAACCTCTTCAGTTGCTTGAACTCTATGGTGGTATTATTTTTCTAGCATGGGTTGTTACAAGACTGCAGAATTTTAATAGTAATGAGGAGAAAGGTAAATAATAAAAATAGAGAGGAGAGGGGAAACAAAATAGCTCCCTTACTGGTCTTAGTATATCTTCCATGTAGGTAATGGCCTGAAAATGATATTTATTTTTTAAAATTTAGGTTTGGCACCTGTAGTGTAGAAACATGGCCTTTCCTCCACATTCCTTATTATTGATTGTTTCCCCAGAAAGAGTTCATGAAGCCAGATTCAATATCCATGTTCAGTTTGGCCTGCTTTTTAAAAAGAAATACTTAGGTGTATATGGTGTCCATCACCACGCATGCAAACCGAGGATCACAGACACTGGGGTTAGCCATCTCCTGTTTTCCTATGCACACTGGGCACAGTGGGTGGCGTTCGTATGCACTAGCTGCAGTGTTACAGCACCTTATCGAACTAGGTAGTGTTTATTTATTGTAATTAAAAGTTAAGCTGCACCTCTGTAGCATATTTACTTTGCAGAGTATAAAGCTGTTAGGTCTTTGCAACAGGATTTACACTTTCATTCTTAGTCCTTTTTTTTTTCAGTAATGATTTAACATTCCTTTATATATCCTCTTAACTGTCAGATCTAGGGTAGAAGGGATTTTCCTCCCAATAAAAGGGCTCCATATCCACTATCTTTTGACAATTGTCACCAATCCAGTTATGATCATGAACTTTAACAGTTGATCGCCTCCTGTGTCAGCACCTGGAGTGGTTGGTCGTGAATATTAAATCCTACCCCAGTAGTCTCCACATGTTCCAATCCCCGGTGGATCCCTCAGACCAGGAATAGTACCAGACCTGACATCTACTCTACTCTATGTTTTCTCAATTCTACGTATATATTTGTTATGAAGTTTAATGCATAAATTAGACACAGTAAGAGATGAACAACAACAACTAAAACTAGGACAGTGGTGACAGTGTGCAGTAATAAAGGTTATGTGAATGCTGTCTCTCTAAACATTGTACTGTACTCACTTGTGTTGGGACCGTGTGTGACCAGGGGTAATGGAAAGCAAACTTGCAGATAAGGGGGGGCTACTGTACTACTGTTTTTCCTCAGTGACACATAATTGCTGTGTTTTGGATAAGAAGGTATGATTAGAAGAAAATGTGAAAGATCACTTAAACCAAAGCCAGTTCTAAGGAGTATTGTCTCCTGTTGGTTTACCTTCACCTCACAACTACGAGAATATTACAGTACCTAGCAAATAGTCGTCTGTAACATTTCTACCAGTCGTTTCTATAGCGTATTGGTCTTGGCATTTCTTGGCACTATGGTTCTCTGTTCTTTGTGAAGTCTTATTGTTTGTGAGGCTTATTACTTTTAAAATAACCAAGTGGGACTATAAATGTAGATACGTGTCAGTATGGAAAAGTTCTTTTCTCAGATCCCTAAATTTCTGACTTCCATTCAATTCTTTTAAACTTGTTTTTCCTCGCCGAGTAGCAGGGGACTATTATTTTCAACTTTCCTATATAACTAAAAAGTTTGGACACTGCATTTCAATCAACTGGATTGCGTAATTTTTTTGCTGAAAACTTTCTGTAAACACAATTGCCTTCTTTGGTTTTGTTGTAAACTGACTTACTATATGATGCACTGTTGATATGCTTTCCGATGTGTGTTTGATAAGAGTGATAAAATAAAGTTTAAAAATAAAGTAATTGCTTTTTTATTGCCACTGTTTCCGTACTTAGTATAAATATTCAAGTTAAGATAACAGACAATTACCTTGATTTAATTTTTACTAAAAGCTACAATTGAGAAATTTTCTATCTAGCTTCAGTTACCCATTTCTAAAGAACATAATTTTGCATTTTGGGGAGTAGTACATCAAATGGACAATCAGAAATGTGGTTATTTTGGAAAAATGCACTTAATATTGTAGAGTCAGCCTGTTCTAATGAAAAGAACAAGAATTTAGAGTAAGGAGGTTTGTATTCTAATCTCAACTCTTCAGTTAAGTTGGATAGTTTTAATCAAGTGACTTAGTTTTCTTAATATTGGGTCATTGAAAAAGTCATGATGCATTTTTGCATGGAAAAACATAAAAAAATATGTTATGACTTTTCCGATGACCAAATAATTGTATCTTTATGTTGAGAAGACTAAAAGATAGGAGGTACAATTGTAATAAAAACCAACCATGAGACCAGCAGTTAGCATAATGGCTATGTCGCTGAACTCCCATGTAGTCAACCGCGGTTCAAGTCCTGGACCCGGTGGCTTAAACTCAATGCCGGGTGCGTGTGCATGCGTGCCCAAGATCCCGAGAGGTGGATGGAGGAGAAGGGATTGCAGAGTGACCATCCCTCCAGGGGGCAATTTCTCTCATTCTATCTCTCTGTCTCTCTCTGTCTTTCTGGCAAATGCGTGCGCCCTATAACAAAAACCTCTCAAAAAAAAAAAAACCAATTATGGAGCATCAGTGAGGTGAGAGGCACCATTTTAGACAGTTTATCGTGTCTAGTATTCCCTTTTTGCATACAGAACCCAAGGCCCAAGCAGATTATATAAACTTGCCCAATATTTTATAAAACTTAGAGGTAACATTGATATACTGATCTGTCTAGAAGTGGCATTGGCATGGTTAATTAGGAAATTCATGACTTCTCTGGATGTGAAATTCAAGAGATGCCTTTAGGAAGTACATCCTAAGACAGAAAACAGAAGTTTAATTCGGCGATTTTCTCACCAGTGTGCTAGCTTGCCTTCTAATCCACCCGTAGTTTCTCTCCGATCCATCTCGCCTGTTCGCTTCCTCTGATACTGCCCAGCTTAGTCCCTGAGCTCTCTTACTGGAGCTTCTTCTGGGATGTCTGCGTCTCCAGTCTATGCTGTCGAGTCTCCTCTTCACACTGCCAACGGTTCCATGCTTTAAAATATGCTCGATCATGCTGCTCCCTGCTTATTTCTTCTGCCCATTTTCCTTCCAGATAATATCTAGTCCCCTTAAACTGACATCAAGACTTCGTGGTGTGGCTCTGCCTGTCCGTGTTGCCTCCTCTCATGTCTTTCCCTGTTGGCACTGGATGCTTCAGCTCTACTAAGCTACCTGTACTTTTGCAAATTCCACCCTTTCTCCTGGATCTGAGCCTCTTATCAAAAAGCCATTCAATCCCCCCCACCTTATCTCTGTGATAAAGTCCTATTTATCTTTTTTTAGATTTTTTTTCTTTGTCCTAGAGTGTATGTGCTTGCCAGAGAGAGAAAGACAGAGACAGGAAAAGTGAGAAGTGACCTCTCGGTGGGATGACCACGCCAGTTCTCTTGTCTCCTCTTGGGATTTGGGGTACACTAGCACATGTGCCCAGCGTGTTTTCGAAGCCACTGGGTCCAAGACTTGAACTGTGGAGTTGGCCATGCGGGATCCAGCTGCCTTAACCACCATGCCACCTGCTGGCCCCGTATTCTGTTCCTTTTTAAACAGGGTATTTGTCACCTCTATTTATCTTTCCTATATAACCCCCTCAAAAAAAAATATATTAGTGTCCTGTACCAACTCTACACTTAGTGTTATAATATGCGTTTCATGTATGACTGGAGCTACCGTTTTATTTGACCTCAAATGCACTCCTTAAGGACATATTAGATCTGTTTTCCTAGCACCTAGTAATTGCTCAGGAGATGTTTGTAGAGTTGAAAATGAGTGTATAGGGCTGGCTCGTCACATGCTGGTTCAAGTGGCTGGATCCCACATGGCTGGCTGTACAGTTCGAGTCCCGACTTGGAGAAGATGCATATGTACACGCACAAAATCCTGAAAGGAGGGCGAGATGGAGCAGAAGGGAGTGCTGTGTGACCATTCCTCACCAAGGCTGCTTTTTCACTTTCTCGCTCTGTCTCTCCAGCAAGAACACACATCCTCTGGCAAGTTTTAAAAAAGGAGAAGACGAATATGTAGAATCTAACAACAGTTGGAAACAGATGTCCCAGTGTCTCAAAGAATGACTTAGGTAGTTTATGCTTGAATTAACTGTGGAACAACAGGAAACCGTTATAAAATGTAGCCTGTCGGGACCAGCAAGTGGTGTAATGGTTAATTGACTGGACTCCCACGTAGTCGACCTCAGTTTGAGTCCCAGACCCAGTGTCTTAAAACTCACACTAGGCCTGTGTGCATGCATACCCAAAATCCCAAGAGGAGAATGGAGAAGGGATTGTGATGTGGTCATTCCCCCCTGGGGTGGGGGGGGTGGTGGTGGTAGAGATTTCTTGCTTCCTGTCTTTCTGTCTGTCTCTGGCGAGCACACGCATCCTATAGCAGAAATCTCAAAAGAAAAACAGCCTATTATTGCATGACTAATAACAATATTGGCAATTAATCAAGTAATATACAAAGAAATTTAGAAAGATACTTTGGATTTTGAAAATACATTAAATTTTTTGTGGAAGTTTGTATAATCTTGGAGTTAAGGAATTCAAATTTTTCATTTCCTCCTGCTTCATAAAATCCTGTCACTGAACAACTGAAATCCATGAGTTCCCTCCTAGCATGAGCATATTGAACTTGCTGAAGCAAATTTCCAATTTAAAAACAAGGTTTTTTTTGTGACTTGTACTTGTCTCCACTATTCTATAACTTTAAAAACAAATTATTTATTTTATTTTATTTATTATTACTATTTTTTTAATTTGACCAGAGAGAGACAGAGGGAAAGTGAGAAAGCAATCTCTCAAGTCTGGGACTTGAACCACTGTCAGCCATGTGAAAGTCCAGCACCTTAACCACTATGCCACCTGCCTGCCCCCTATTCTGCAACTCTTAATAAGAATTCTTGACTTACAGATTGGAACAGGAGGGAATTGCAACACAATGACCAAAGCATTTCCAAAAGTCCTTTTTGCATGCAGTATACAGTCATCTGCACATATAGATTGGATTGACGCAAAAGTCATGACTCATTTTTGCATAGAAACAGAAAAATTACAACGTGACTTTTCCAATGACCCAATGTTACAAAAATATCTATATATTCGGTGGTCGGAAAAGTCATGGAGTATTTTTCTATGTGTTTCTATGCAAAAATGCATCATGACTTTTCCCACAACCCAATACATATGTTTCACAAACTTCATTTACTTAGGAAATAAAAGTGTGCTCAGATATAAGAAAGCGGGTCACTGAGGGCTACACATTTAAATATTAAGTTAAAAGTCTCCCAGAATTATAACACCCTGGCACGAGGAACCTCAGAACTAGCCTGGTGTTGAATTGACATTAATTTGTAAAGAAGCAGGGTGTGTCAATATCGTTGATGAAAAACATTCATCAGACCAGTAGCAAAACATTACTGATACATAATTAGAACACTTACATTTTTTAAATAATTATTTTATTCATCATTGTTATTTATTTATTTATTTTTAATTTAACCAGTGAGAGACACAGAAGGAAAGAGAGGGAAAGTGAGAATGTAAGCTGCCCTGTCCAGGGATTGAACCATGGTCAATCACGTGGGAGTCCAGCACCCCAAACATTACACTACCTGCTGGCCTCACATTTATATTTTTTAAGACAACAACACTTTAAAGAAAAGAGGAATCAGAGGCCAGCCGGTGGGGTTGTGATTAAGGGGCTCACTTTCCCTCTCTGTCTCTCCTGTGAGCGCCTAGATTTGGTCATCCAAATGGCTTGGCCCACAGTGTCTCGGTTCTGTATGGTTGGCAGTTGGGAGAGAGCCTCTGGAAGCCTAAGATGTCAGTGTGCTTATTTTTGTTCAAAAAAGGTAAACCATACAAGGAGTTCACCAAAAAGCTTGTGGAAATATGTATATTATGACAAAACTGCATAGATTTCAAAAAATTTTTGCAACAAAATACATAGGTACTTTAATTTCATTTTTCCATCAACACTTTGAAGTCCCCTCATATATTTAACTGAGTATTAAAACTTGTTTTTTTTTTTTAATTTTTCTGAGAGAAAAGATGAAGTGTATAAAGGCTCATCTTTAAAGTAAGAATGAAAGTCAGTTTAGTTAAATGTAATTGAACAAGTTGATATGAGAGACGTACTTTCTTTTGTTTTAGGCTGCCCACCAGAGAGAGAGAGAGGGAAAGTGAGAAATCACACCTCAGGGAGGATGACCGTGCTGCAATCCCTAATCCTCCATTTTCTTCTTGGGATTTTGAGCACACACATGTACATTCACTCAGTATGTTTTTCAAGCTGCCAGGCCTGGGATTTGAACAGCAGAGTCAGCCACTATGGGATCCAGCTACCTTAACCTCCATGCCACCTGCTGGCCTGGAGCTGCACTTATTTGTATTTAGTTCAACATTTCCCAAAGTATATTTTTGAAACATTCACTTACTGAACATAGGAAGCTTTGAGAGCAGATTTAATAAGTTTTGGATATGCTCCATGCTTTTTCTCAGAGAAATCTGGGGTCCTGTTTAACCTACAAAGTGTCGGAAGGATAGTTCGAGTTGATGTCAATACACCTCTCACCTATCATCAACGTTTTTCATTTTTGTTTTTAATCTCTTACTTTCCCCCTCTTGATATGCACAAATAGGGAGGGAACAAGAGATAAAGCTAGTTAGTGAACAAATAGCATCAAAAAAACCTATATTTTTCGGAACCATTTAAAAGTTGCAGATATTACGACACTTGGACCCCGAGTACTTCAGCATGACTTTCCTAAGAGTGAAACTGTCCCCT